GTTTAACTGCAGTCCTTTGGGCCTTTTCCCTCTCCTGTGTTGGAGGGTGCCGCTTCCCTGTAGGATATCAAACCAGAAATCCAACACCCAAGGCCATCTATCTGCAGGGTCCTTACATGGAGGAAGCCTCTGGGGGGGTCCCTTCTGACCATAAACCAAGGATGGGAATAACCTTACTGGTGACAGGGACTGTCGTAAACTTGACTACGGCAGTCGGAATTGGGTTATAGTGCGGTACCTGGCCATTTGATCTCCCTCTGGACCCATTTTGGATTTACTCTAGTTTTCGATAGTCTCTGCTTTCTTCTCAACAGAGATTCCCCCACACCCCCCCCTCTGGTTTATTTAATATTGATATTGGTCTTTTAGTTATTTTTTGTAAAATAAATATATTTACTGGTCTTTTTCTTTTTCTTTTTTTTTTTTTTGGGTCTTTTTCTTTTTTGCATGCTTCCCAGTGTATGAAGCACAGCACGGGTGGATGTAGAGAGACAGTAATTGGTGTAGTAGCTTGTCGTGGCGATATGGGGAGAGGGATGAGGGGAGGTTGGAAGGAAATGGGAAGCAAGTAATCCAGGAAGAGGAAGATGTTCTAGAAATGACTGGCGATGTATATACACTGTTTAAATACTACTGAACTATGGATGTGTGTGATAGGTGATGCGTATCTCAATTAAACGATTGGGGGGGAAAGCCAAAACAATGGCTTCGAGTTGTTTTGGACTCATAGTAACCCCATGGAACAGGGTAGAAGGGCCCGTTGGGGTTCCAAGGTGGTAACTGTTACATAATCGGAAGGCCACATCTTTCTCAGAACAGCTGGTTGCGTTCAATCGGCCAGTCTTTCAATGACCAGTCAAGTACCTCGCCGCCCCCCACCCCCCCACCCCCGCCCGAGCGTATGCATTTTATTAAGCTTAGAGTGTTTACCCAAATGCCCACTGTGCAGACACCAAAGTGGCCACGAAAACCAGTGAGTCTTCCCAAATTTAAATGACCGCATGTAGTCTGCGGAGAGCCATCTCTGCAGGGGTCGGTCACTCAGAAAACGGAGAAGCACCACAGCACTTGTGTGGATGCGCTCTCTGAGGAATGTGGAGCCTTGGGGACGAGTCCGGCTAGACGATAACCAGCCATGTTTTAGAATGGTGGCGAGAGTGCCCGGAGAAAAGTGTGGAGGAGCGAGCCAATGATCACAGTTCTGAGACGTGAGAGCAAGCCACGTTGCAAATTCCAAGGGTCTGTCCCTTCCTGGAAAACATAGCTCTGACCCTCCGGCTTGGACCCCTCCATTGATCCACCCATCCACATGTGAGCATGTCTGCCCACTCCTCCCCCGCACTGACGCCATCCCACCTGTAGCTTTTGCAGATCGGAAAGGTTGGCAGTGGCTTAGAATGAGCTGAACGTCCTTCCAATATCTACTGGTCCGAATCATTGAGATTCTGAGATGGCTGCAGAGTCAGGGTGGTGAGGCCACTTCACAGGGTGCCGATGGCGAGGGGGGTGTTAGTTCTGTTTCAAGAAGGTTTATTCGACTGCCTCTGTTGAGGACTGACTATGTTTAAGACAGTGGCTCTCAACCTTCCTCGTGCTGTGGCCCTTTCATACAGTGCCTCATGTGGTGGTGACCATCCCCAACCATCACATTATGCTTGTTGCTACTTCATCACTGTCATTTTGCTACTGTTAGGAATCGGGCGAAAGGGTTGTTCGACCCCCAAAGGGGTCTCGACCCACAGGTTGGGAACCGCAGGTTTAAGGTGTTGTAAGGAGCCTGGTGGTGCAGTGGGTGAAGGAGGTTCAGAGGTTCAACCCCATCACCTGCTCTGTGGTATTCGGCTTCCATAAAGATTTACAGCCTCAGCAGTGGGGGAGGTCGCTGGCAGGCCACAGCTGCCACACCCACTCTGTGCCTTATCAAGGGAGAAAATTCCTAGTGCCCCAGGCCGGATTCTGAGAGGGCCTTCCTGGGAGGGCCCCATCTCTGAAACCCAGGAAGAACGTGCTATCTCAGCAGGATTCTGAGGATCAGGGGGGTCTGGGGAATGCAGATGGGGAGGCAGGAAAGGCTGCAGGCCCCTCTGGAGGAGAGGTGGGCAATGAGTGCTGTG